GCCGTCGGGGCAGTGCGCAAGGGTGCGACCCACCCAGGTGTCCGTCTTCCTGTCTATTTCTGAACGAGCGGCGCGATGCGGCTCGGAGTCTGTACGTCTGACGGCCCCCCCGCGCTCGCTGTGTCGCAGGTATTGAGCCTCTGATCCGCAGCCTGAAGGAGGCGCTGCAGCTGAACAACCAGGAGATACAGAGAGAGGGGCTGGTCTTGCTGACGGAGATCCTGGACAGGTGAGGGAGGGGGGCCTGACCCTCTGACCATCCTGTCTCGCGCTCTGCATGGGGGCTGGACCCAGAGACCGGCCTGTGTCTCTGTCCGACTGCAAGGCAGTTTATCTCCCAGACGTGCCTTGTTAGTTGAGCAGATTCTACTGCTGTACTTCACAGATGTGCCGGATGAATTGTTTCTCTGTCGCTGTTCCTGTGGAATACCCGTCTGCCTCACACTGTGTCTGTCCCCTGCGTCCTACCAGGCAGCCGGCGAGCATCCAGCTGTTCTCCAGCTGCAGTGCATTCAGAGAGGCAGCGGAGGCCGTGCGGATGGGCGTCGCCGTGTCCAGCCTGGAGGTGGCCACGCAGGCCGCCTGCGCTGCGGCTGCCCTGCTCAGGTTCGAGGGGCCGAAAGTCTCATGATCCTGCGGCACTGCTCATGTCACGGCCCCGCCCCTTCTGTCAAAACATAAATCCTTTGCACTTAAACGGAGGGTTTTGAGGCTAGGCCTCCAGACAAAGTTTTGTACGTCATTTAAAATGATGTAAATAATGCTGTGAAGGCCTGTCTATGCTGGCGGTGTTTCTGCTGACTGACATTGGTCTGCCTCTCTTGTCACGTGTCTGTTGTAGTGAGAGAGCGTCCGTCCACACTGGTAGCGTGCACGAGGCTCCGCGTCCTTCGGGTCTGTTTATACACAAACACCGTGTTTTGGCAGTTCACGGCGTGCGGCCAGCCTGCCGTAATAAACTGCAGCGAAGAGAAAATTAAACCTGCTTGTGTCGGTTTGCTTCAGTTCATCGTCGCTCGGTGTCAAAGCAGAAATGAGATTTGTATATATTTAGAGTATATTACATGATATTCTACTAGTGTAAGACGGTTAGGTGTGGAACAAGGCATTCCTGAGCCCCGTGACTGTGCTATTTCAGCCTTGTGGCTGGGCTGTGTCAATATACTCTGCACTCGCTACAAGTATTAAGTACTATAGACCTAACAGCAGCAGTCAGGCTTTCTGTAATGAGCTCAGTACATCCAATTCCACCTTTCAGAAGTCTCTTTTTCTGTGTGCTGCCAGGCTGAACCACATGGCCACTCCAGTTCAGTACTTTCAGCTGCAGGGCGTGATAGAGGCAGCGATGAGGAGGGTGGCAGACCTGCCCTGGCCGTCCGCAGCACCGCGCAGAGCTTGTGTGAGTGTGGGGCTGTTTCAGCCTCGTGCCCCTGCCTCGGCAAGCAGGGTGATTTATCACGAAGCAAACTGGAATCGTGCTTCAGGTGGGAGGTCATGGAAAAGCGAATGAAGCTCACAGTATGATCATGGAGAAAACAGTGAATTCCCAGCGCGATAATCAAGGGAAACCGGTGAAACAGTGACATCCAAGGGGTAATCTACGAAAGACTTGCCTGGCTTGTTGCACCCATGACTAGGAGTCAGACTGGTGTCACTAGTGTCCATGGGATATTAATACATGATTAATAACCTGGAGTTACAGCCAGATATCGGAACCATCCAAAGACAAAGAGATTTGCTAACTTACCAGGCGTACTTCATGTATTGTTTGTTGATCAGCTCTTACTTTTCTGTGTTATCCCTTCCATGTCTCGTTTGTCTCGGAAATAGTCGTTAAATTAAGACAAGAGTGCGCCGACATCAGGGGGGTGGTACGTGCTACAGTATGCATTTGTAGAAATCCTGAAGGCATCTCATCTTTCCTGTATCGGGTGTTTGTGTCCAATGGTCTCCGGGGACTCCTTGTGTGACCCTTCCTGGAGCTCAGCCCAGCGGCCAGGCCTGCAGTGCGGAAGAGTTCCTGCTCCAGTCGCTGGTGACTGTGCACACGGCCTGCAGGTACAGCCCCGTTCTCAACAGTACAGAGTTCGGCCCCCTCTGGCACTGTGCGCTGACACTGCTCTCTGCACCCGTGACACCCTGGCCGCGCGAGATCACAAGGCGCTTTGGGTAAAAGCATCTGCCCAATGATAAGTACAGCATAAAGATGCAGCACAGTGAACGCGCAACACAGCGTTTTCCTATACTGTAGCTGTCAGTGTTTATTCCTATGGAATTGTTGGTTGAAATAATTTGGCTCACTCAACCTTTTTAATTTGTTGTCAGGTCTTACATATTTGCAGATGCTCAGATGCATTTAAATAGAAAAACATCTCACCTTTTTTGGTTACATACGATTAAACAAACTAAACTATGTTTAGGAGGGTGTGCAGACAAAGGGATTCATTTGAATGTTTGATCATGTCCCGTCAGTCACAGTGCTTCTCCAGCTCCACTGCAAGCCAAGGCCCTTGGCTCTGTATAATACCAGAATGCACCACAGTGTGGTAAACTGTAGTATAATATAGTGCAGCTTGGTATTGCTTAGTACAACACACAGCTGTACAGCAGAGTCCAGCATCTTGTAATACAACAGAGTGCCACAGTGCGAGACAGCGCTGTACAGACCGGTGTAGCCCAGCTGGTGTGCGAGCGTCTCCGGTGTGCGTCCTCACAGGCTGGCGGAGCAGTGCGCCGGCGAGCCCTCTCTGAAGGAGAACGCCTTCACAGCCCCAGGCGGGCCGAGCGAAGACACCCTGGACACGTTCTCCCTCTTCCTGCTGGAGACCTGTGGTGCCATCTGCATCCCCGCGGTCACTGTGAGTCAGCACACGCACACACATAAAACAGAGGCACAGGGAAGGGGAGGCAGCTCACTGCTCAGCTTTTACAGCACTAAAGACCTGTCTGACACTGGCAGTTTCAGATACTTTATATCACATGATGCTTAATTCGTGCCCATACTTCTTTTGTCCTGACTAGCCTCACGCCTGGGGATACCTCTTGTAGGCAGAGTACACTAATCCTGATTCCTGTAGGTAAGGCACCCTAACCCTAAACTCTCATAGGCAGGGAACTCTAATCCTGATTCCTGTAGGTAGGGTACCCTAACCCTAAACTCTCATAGGCAGGGAACTCTTATCCTGATTCCTGTAGGTAGGGTACCCTAACCCTAA